ATTATTATTACTGGAGAGGCTCTTCTTCTTCACTAGAGATCCCATTGACAATGACCTATTCGGAGTGCTCTATGGTGACTTGTGACTTCCATGTCAGTGAGGTAGTGAATTCACTCCTGGTTTTAGCATGAACTTAAAAACCTACTTGGGAATGTAGGCTACAGCATCTTGAACACTTCCTTCACTGTTCAGACTCAAATGTGGAGTAGAATCACTGACCCCCTGACATGGAAACCTCCAGGCACTCTACTTCTTGACTTCTTCCTTTGAGCGGCAAGTTGTGTTGGATGGCGTAGTCCTCCAATTGTTTAACTATATGTGATCCGGTGTTGCTGAAGATATTTACATCCCAGGGACTTGGGTTCAAATTCCAGCTCAGTGACCTTGTGGTAGTTTCTTGGAATGTAACATATAGACTTTTACAGTCCTGAGCATTTTGGATGAAGCACAAGATATAAGCGTAATAAATAAAAAGTACATAAATACATAATAAAGACCCAATCAGGGAAGCCATGGTGTTGAGTTTGCAAGACCTGAGCAGGACTGTTGATAACAGGGTGACTTGAAGGTCTTCTCATTCATAGTGTTGTCATAAGTTGAAGTCATCCTGATAGCAGTTAACAAGAACAACAAAGTACATAAAATCCTGTTTTGGAGCAAGTGTATCTCTGGATTGAACTGACCAACATTCTCAGAGAATTTTAAAAAATGACTTCATTTTAATTCAGTACTGAAGATAAGTTAGATTACCCAGACCACTTAAGACAAACAAAATGGCTCTTCACTGTACTTTGCGGATATTCATTTCTGAACACAGAGAATGAGCAGATGTTTACAGATACTAGTTTTATCAGGGTGTTGTAGGCTGAAATAATGTTCTAGCAACTCAGTGGCTACTACAGCGTAACATGTGCTTGATCGGATTCCTTCCAGTCCTCCTTTTTAACACTCTGCAACCCTAGCCAGTCTATGAATCAACACAGAATATTTTCAGACTGGCTTGATGGGAATGGATTCAACCCAAGCCTTTCAGCCAGATTCTTCACACACCTGCTAAACAGATTCTTGTAGACCAGCCATCAACTAACATTTTAGCTGCAGTCAGGGATACAGCATTCCAAAAGCTGCTAACTAGGTACATTAATCATCTATCACCCCTCTTATGGGTTCGGCAATAGCTCTTAAAATAGACAAGAAATTAAGAGCTAGGATGACAGAAGGCTTTCAGTACAGAGATACTTGTGTTTAGGAACTACAAGGAGATAATCACCTTCATAACACTGAAGAATCTAACCTCAGTTTGGTCTGTCTGTCTGTCTGTCTGTCTGTCTATATCTATCTATCTATCTATCTATCTATCTATCTATCTAATCTATCATCTAATGCAGTTGTTGTTGTGGTTGTTGTTGTTGTGTGCCTCCAAGTCATTTTGACTCATTGGGACCCTAAGGTGAACCTATCATAGGGTTTTCTTGGCATGTTTCTTCAGAGAGGGTTTTCCCAAAATCAGACAATGGGTTTTTATGCTCTAGCATGGATTTTAACCTTGGTCTGCAGAATTGTAGTCCAATGCTCAAACCACTACACCACACTGGCTGTCATACTCCATCCCTTTAGTTAACAAAGGCCCCAGAGTGGTTTAAAAAATAAATAGTATGGTATTAATTGGCCTCAGGCTTAATACATTTAGAAGACACGTAAGGGGAAAATGATTGGAAATGAGGAGAGGGGAAAATGGTCTACATTTAGAAGACATGTAAGGGGAAAACGATTGGAAATGAGGAGAAAAAGAAAAGAAAGCTCAGCGCTACAGTGACCAGCTGGATGGAACTGGATCCAGGCAGCCTTCTGGAATAGCTACTTGTAGCTGACAGCTGAGAGAAAGAATTAGAGGTGTCTTTGCTTTAAGTGTGGGATTTAAGAACCACTTTGCTAGGTCAGACCAATGTCCGTCTAGCTTGAATGTCAGACAGCAGGACAAGAAGGTATTAACACAGTAACCCCAGCATCCAATGTTCAGATATATCCTATCTCTGTTCCTGGAGGTTCCACTTAGGTAGCATGCTACCTAGTAGCAGATAGTACACATATGCAACAAAGCAGTCTTATCTGGTGCTAAAAAGCCACACGATTTATTTTCCTGGTAATGGAACTCTAAAATAATGTCCCCTCTTCTTTTATACCACAATGCAAGGAATTGTTGTGTGGTGGGGGAAGAAAGAAATCATGCAACTGCATAAAAATAGCTACTGAAAATGGAGAAATGGGGGCATTTGGCTTTGCTCTCTTTTTTTAAAAAAAATTGCTAAACAGCTCTTCCAAAAATGCTTCTCAGCCTGAAGAATGTAACATTAATTTTGTATACAGTATTAGTTTCTTTGTTTTGTTTTGTTTTGTTTTGGTTTTTTTAGGGACCAGTGTGGTGTAGTGGTTTGGGTGTTGGACTAGGACTCTGGAGACCGAGGTTCAAATCCCTGCTTGGCCATTGAAAACCCACTGGGTGACCTTGGGCAAGTCACACTCTCTCAGCTTCAGATGAAGACCATGGCAAACCTCTTGTGAACATATCTTGCCAAGAAAATCCCATGATATGTTTGCCATAAGTAGGAAACTCCTTGATGATACACAACAACATTTTTGTTATAATCTTACATCCATTAATCCATTCTTTGATACCTCTTCCATCTTATATTTGCAACTCTTTTAACTTTCTACAGGTATTTGTAATTTTTGAGCTTGGAAACATTATTGGTTGGGACTACAGCTTCCAGACACCCACAGCCACCATGCTTAGTGGTTATACTAGAGGAGGGAGCCTGGTTTCAACTCTACAGTTTGACCCCCCCAAAAAAAAATTTAAAAAAAAATGCAAACACTCATTTTAAACTTGTAGGTCATCTTCGGTCTCATGCCAGGGGAAAGGCAGGCTATCAATCAAACAAATAAATTTTAATTTAAATAGTTGAAAATACATACTTAAAAACACTATTGAGAGGTGAGTCTGAAACACCATTCAAAAATACATGAATGCTTAATATATTGACCACAACACTGTTATGGGTGCCAATTATTTTTACATTATGTCCTAGCTCTAGAATGCTTGTGTCTAATGGAAGTGTACAGATTGACAGTGAAGGATAAGAGCCATTTACATGACCAGCAGACATTTTGTTTGATTTAGGTCTAATCTCCACTGCAGTAATAATGCAGTTTGACACCAATTTAACATGCATGGCTCTATGATATGGAATTCTGTACTTTTTATAGTTTTGTGAGATATTTATCCTTCTCTATCAAAGAGCTCTGATACCACAATAAATTACAAATCCCAGGATTCCATAGAACTGAGCTATGGCAGTTAAAGTAGTGTCACACTTTTTTATTTCTGCAGTGCAGACTAGACCATAGAAAAGTCACCCTGAAAAAAAGTGTTATCTGATAGCTCATTTCTATTTGTTGGAGAAGTACTAGCTACAGAAAGAATCACTTCTGCAAGATTTCCATAAATCTAAAGAAAGGCAACCATGTAATCATGTAAACCATGTAAAGGCAACCATGTAATCATTAACATAATAATAAAAAGCTCTACACACCTACCTATCTACTTGTACTTTTGATTTTTTCAATGCACACGTGATACAGACTGTTATAATCACTAGTTAATAAAGGAAGACCTCATGATTCCCCTCCTCCACCCACATTCATTCAATAAAAACTTAAGAAGTGTCATGATGGATCAGACCCAAGGGCAGTCTGCTTTCACAGTTGCCAATCAAATGGTTACTGTGAGAAGCCCACAAATAGGACATAATCACACCTGCCTGTTCATAACCCGCTGGTAGTCAACTGGTAGTCAAACTCATACTGGAGATTATATACAGCTTTCATGACTGGAAACCGTTAGTGCCCTTATCCTCCATGAATATGTCTAATCTGCCTTTAAAGGCTATTGCTACACCATATGGAAGTAAATTTCATCATTTAATTTTGTGCTGTGTGAAGAAGTACTTCCTTTTGTGTGTCCTAAAGCTCTGACAATTCAGATTCATATATATGAAGTGAGGACTTTCCTCCTCTCCAGTTTGCATTACTTTAAATTTGCTAGCAGTGAACTACATTTGCCTCTTTAATGCTAATTTTTCTCATGTGAAGAGATTATATTGGAGCTATTTAGTATCTCTTTTTGTTTAATCAGTTGAAATAATTTGGGATCACTAGCAAGATCTGGCCACCTGACTGTTCATTCCTAACCTCAGGTTATTTATGAAAAAGAACTGGGTCAGATATATGTCCTTGATGGCACCAGTTCCTATAACCCTCCATTGTCAGAACCTTCCATTTACTGCTATTCTTTGCTTGTAATCAGGTATCAGTTCCTTAGAGAATCTGTCCTCTTATACCATAATTGCTTAATTTGCTTTCATTTCCTCAATATCCAAGAACAAGATGTCAGCTGAAATCATCCTTTTCTGCATCTTTATTGATGTACCTTTGCAGAACATTAGGAACCCATTATGAATCTTCTTCAGAAGGATTTTTATCTGTTAAAGAACTTTCCACTAATGGATCCAGAACAGACATTAAACTAACCAGCCTTAAATTTCTTCAGGCCTTCTTGGATCTCATTCTATAATTGGGTGTTATACTGTCTACTTTCCAGTCCTTTGATACAAAAATTGATCTTAGCAATATATGTCATATTTTTGCTAAAAGATTAGCAATTTCATATCAGAGTATAAATTTCTTATTAGAGTTTTAAGAACTCTTGAGCTGATACCTTTGGATGTGCTAATTTGTTATTGATTTGTCAGGAAAGTTTAGAATTTAATTTTTTGTTACTCATATTTACCAGATCTTTTGCAGATGCTCACCTTGACATTTAATATATGATTTATATCTTCTGTGGTGAAGCCAGAAAGTCTTTGTTCATCTTCTCTGCAATTGTGTATCCCTTCAGTACTTTTTAAAATCCTTTGCCATAAAATGGTTGAACTACTTCCCTAACCAATTTCCTACTTCTATTATACTGTATACATTCATGTATAAATCTAAAAATCTTAGTCAAAAAATTGACCCCAAAAACCAGAGTCAACTTATGCATGGGTCAATGTTAGTACTGTACTTTAACTCTTATTTTTAAAAAGGAACAATCCCCTAGTAAAAGGCAAGATAGGCTGCCCTGGAAGCACTGATCTTGCTCTATTCTCTCATCCATCCAGCTTTTAGGATGAGACAAACAGTTATGCCTGCTGGAATTTGTTCTTTGGCATTGTTTTCTTTTGCTTCATCCTTTTTAGATCCTTTGTTACGAGGCCCTAAATTTTACCTTCAGCTTATCTACGGATCATATCAAAATCCATAATTTTGCCCCTAAAACCTGCCCTTGACTTATACATGGGGTCGACCTATAGCCGAGTATATATGGTATTTAAAGACTTGTTTACTGTTTATTTTCGGATTATTAAGGCTAACAAAACAAAATGAAAACCATCATCATCTCCAATACTATTGTCATCATCATCGAGATCAACAAAATGCAATGTTATGTTTTATTATTGTATTATTGATATTCAATATTTATAACAATGGTGTTTAAATATTACACTTTGTTTAATTGTGTTTTAATATTGCAGTTTTATTCATACCAGGTTTTAAAATTTATCTATCTATCTATTTAGCAGAGTCAGTGTGACATAGTGGTATATATGGTATTTATATGGTATATTGAGTATTGGAGTATGACTCCAGCGACCAGAGTTCAATTCTCTGCTTGGCCATGAAACCCACAGGCAAATCACATGCTCTCAGCCTCAGGAAAGGCAACGGCAAACCTCCTGTGAAAAAATCTTGCTAAGAAAACCCCATGATAGCTTCACCTTAGGGTCACTATAAATTGGAAACAACTTAAAGGTACACAACGACAATGACAACAATATCTGTTTAGCATCTAATCTGGTTAGGACCTGTATGAAGTTCCATTGTAGAGATATAGATTGGATATAAATGTAAAAAAACCCACACAAATGCCTAATATTATACTCCCCAAACTTTCACTCTCTCCCCTTCCCGCCCTTCTTCTCCTGCTCTCTCCCTCTGTGGCATCCCATATTGCCTGACTGTATTTCTTTTTGTTCCCATTTAGGCAAGACTTCTTTTAATGGTTCTTTAATGGCTTCTTTGACTTTTCACATTAACCATACTACTGAACACTCACACTTTGTCATACTTGCTTGACCCCTATAACTATTTTATTTATTCAGTTTTATTTATATGCCCTCTATCTCCTAAATTGGATGCAAGGCAGCTCACAAAAGATGCTTTTTTAAAAAAGCACCATTTGAAAACACAATTAAAATCATCACAACAATATAAAAAGTCAAAAATATAAACTCCTTAAACAAAACTAAGGGCCAATGCAGATGGCCCATAAGGAGTGGCTCTGTGCTGCCCCTGGGAGTGGTGGATTGGGGCAGCAGCAACCACACGCCATGGCCCCAATCCTCCTTTTTGCCACTCCCAAAAGTGCAGGCAAATGCTGCTCCTTTTTGGGGCAGCAAAAAGCTGCCCTTTGAGACACTGTCACAGCTCTTTTTGCACCCCTTTTGCAAAGGATGCTCTTGACGCCATGCACTGTGTGGTCAGCTGCGCAGCATTGGGTGGAGTTGGGGTGGAGTCAGGGCAGCTGGTGTGCGGTCGCCCCACCCCAACTCCACCCCCAGGTTGGCCTAGGGTGGATAGAAAAGTGGAATGTATAGAAAGCCTTCTTCAACTTTTTCTTGTTTTCCTTTGATTGTGGCTTCAAGACATAACAGAAACCACTGATCCCCCACCCCCTATATTTAAAAATGTGTCTATGGAGAATATTGTTTGCTCAAACTTGGAAATAGACTTAAACACCTATGACAGATGAATGGATTGTTAAAGTTGCTGAGTGAGCCCAAATGACCAAATTAAATGTGGTTCTAAAGGATAAGCCAATTTAAGACTTTTTGAAATATTAGAAACTGTTTATAGATTTTGAGCCTTTGCAGACTGCTAGAAATAGTGCAAATTGAGGCCACTTTAAC